TAGTTGTTTATGGATCAATGGAAATTGAGGAATTATGATTTAGCTTGGTGTTGCCAAGCACGGTTTTGAGAGATTTGTTTTGTGACCTTAGTTATCAGGATTTTGATGTATGTGCCACTTAGTGGACTTATATTTTGAGGATTTAGTTATCCATGATAGGGATATGGATCCAATGTTTGATTACGGTATGATCTTGTAATTGATCTGTTTTAGGGAGATATGTAGGACTTTCAATGAAATGTCTTGTAATGAGATTCATTTTGGTTTTTGGATGTTTTGACTTATTTTTAGGATTGGGACTCTTGATTGATGTTGTTATGGAAGTATTTTGAAACATTGGAGTTGTCAGCTTTGTTGTATTGGGGATTTAAGGCTTCAAGCATAGCGGTACCTATGGCATTCTTGTCAGAGTTTGGGATGGCCAGGATGGTCCGGCCGGACGTCCTTGGACCATATCTCAACTCTCACAAAATGTCTGGCCTCCGTAGTGCTTTTGGTATTGATCATTTTTGACATTGATGTCATTTATATCAAGAGGTTTCATGGGTAGACCTAGTGGGGGCAGGTTATGAACTAGTGCCTTATACTGTCATACTACCGTACAAAGTTGTATGTTGTGGGCAAGTGCTAGTTGCCGTCAATGCTACCTTACTGACTAGTAAGTGTGGGCGGGCACTAGGTACTGTCATTGCTACCACACATTTGAGTACATCGTAGGCAAATCCTGGTCGCTATTCATACTGCTATGTCGTCCTTGTTCGGTACCTTGATTTGATACGTGGTTATTTTGGAGTTCTTTTGGTGATTGTTTTCAGATCCGTATGGTAGTTCGTCAGGAGGGATGCTTACGGTTGGGGTCTTACGTTCCTTTGTTTGTCCTTGAGTTCTGTATATGAGTTTTGACTTGTTGTGTGGCTGAGTGGTCACTTTCCTTTTGAGAGGTTGTCCTATCGTGCGCACATGGGTGCGAATGACATTGGTTTGCACTTTGTCTTTCAGTTATGGGATTGCTTTTGTAGCATGTTGTGTGGGATACTCGGAAATGTACTCCGTAGTTATCCTGGTTCCGTCTTTTGTTTTGTTGGGGCTGGATTTCGGGGACGAAATCCTTTTTTAGGTGGGAAGGTTGTAATGACCCGGTCATTTTATTTCCTTTCCTTTTCTCAAATTTTCACGGATATTTTTTTTCCGTTGATCTTTTCCTTTCTGAGTTCGGTTTCTCGTCACTTAGTGTCATCTTGAGAGCTCGGGGATGGTTTCCGAGACTCTTTTCCGTGGATTGACGAATTCCTTTGAGGATCGAGTCATTTTCACATTTTTACTTTTGTGACACTATTCACCTTTCGTATTTTTCAGGTTTGTCACACGCATTCTTAGGCATGAACATCCCTCCATAAGATGAGTCAACCATGAGTCTATGTGGTTCGGTTAAACCATCATAGAAGGCTTGCACCAACTGTCATTTTGGAATTAGGTGGTGCGGACATTTCCTAAGGAGGTCTTGTAGTCTTTCCCAAGTCTCATGGAGTTGTTCCCAATCGATTTGAGAAAAGCTAAGAATAAAATGCCTCATTTGATTGGTTTTACTCACCGGATAGTATTTTTTTTAGAAATTCTTGTTGCAATTGTGCCCATGTAGTGATGGAATTTGCAGCAAGGGAGTACAACCAATATTTTGCCCTATTTTTTAAGGCGAATGGGAAAAGACGAAGATGAAGTGCATTTTCAGGGAAGCCCTTAAGCTTGATGGTAGAACAGATTTCAAGGAACTCATCAAGATTCTTATAAGGGTCTTCATTTTCAAAGCCGTGAAAGGATAGAAGCACTTAAATTGTGCTAGATTTGATCTCATATTGGGCTGCATCGATGTTTGGCATCGCTATGCAAGAAGGAGAAGCATAAGTGGTAGGGATGAAATGGTCCCTAAGAGTCATAGGTACCACATTTGGAATTTCAGCCCTATCATTATTGAGTCCCTCGTTCCCAACTTTTTCTTCATTTTTGGCCATTGTATTAAATTCAGGTTCAATTCCTCTTATATTTTCGGATTCCCTAAGGTTTCTTCTAAGAGTCCTTTCAAGTGATCAACAATACAATTCACAATAAGTACAACACTTCTTCACCATAACATTCACATACAATGTTCCCTTTCTCCTCAATTATCAACAAGACATAAAATAAATGGCCACGACAAGTACTGATGCTTTGTAAAATAGTAAAACATGAATAGCCTCGACAAGGGCTTCACAATCAAATATCTCAAATTTAACCACATGCAAGATATTCACAATTTTGAAACTAGATTTTCGAAAAAAAAAACTTACCTAGAGTCCTCTAGACTTATAATATTTTTAGTTTTTGCTCGGCAAGTTTTGAGTCCCTAGAATCTCACAAGAATACTTAAAACACAATGTCACCAAAACCAAATAAGAAAATATTCACAAAACACAATATTCACAATCAAACCAAAGTTAATCTTTAAACCTCGGTTACAAAACCATTTGCGGTCCCTTGCAACGGCGCCAAAAATTGGTCGGTTGATAAATGTCTACCAATAATAATCAACCCTTGCAATAGCACAAATCATTGTAAAATAGGGCTATTATAGGGGTAATTCGAACCACAAGGACTACTAGTTTATGGCAACCAAGGTCTTTAAAGTCACTTGGTTTGATGATAGAGATGTAAGGTTTTGTTTGGTTTGTCACTTGGTCTTGGAATTAAAATGTGCATAAAATAATAAATTGAAGGAGATTAAAAGGAGGGAAACTTAGGTAGAGAGGGCTAGGGAAGTGAATCAACTACCGACCCTATTAACATGTTAGCTTGTGATTAACATGGGGAACAACATGTATATATGACCATGATATGTAATAACATAAGATTGCTATATTATCTTTAAGAAATTTATGAAATCAAGAGGTAAGAATAATCTATCAAAGTTTTACATGCTTGAACCACCTAAACTAGGGTGTAGCCTTAGACATGCTCACTAAGTTAAAGATTATCAAACCCTTAATCAAATGATAATAGCACATGAGGTTAAAAACCAAGAATAATCCCTCAAAGGAAGGCCTTAAGTTATGGACTATCAAACTTCTTAAACAACATGCCATTAAAACCATTTCACAATCTCATTTTTATTGTCCCTATAAAAATGCATGCCATACAATCATGAGAAAGTACAATCTAAGACAAGATAATAGATTCAACATAATCATTTATAGAAATTTAGATCCATTACATTAAGTGCAAAGCTCTAGATTATGAAACCACCATATATACATTTCATCCCCCAAATTAAACCAAACTAAGGCATGCTTACAAGGAAGGGCTTCATCACCTCCCTAGAAAGGAAGTTAGTTACCCATAGAAGCATAGGAGGAAGGAGAAGATGTGATCTTACCCTCTATTTTCGCACCTAGGAGCCACAATACACACACACCCTTTAGAACTCAATATTTATGTCTCTAGAAATCCTTACAATATGAGATATGATTAATACAATGCATCAAGCCTCTAATAAGCAACCATAGCCTTCCAACCACTCTAAATTCGTGGCCTAAAATCCCTAGAGAAGTGCGGAGTAATCCCTTGAATCAAGGGGATAACATTAGGTGAAATGAAGCAGCCCACGACCTCTTGTGTGCAGATTGGCAGGCGCCCATAGCGCAGGGCGGGCACTTGCGAGGTGTCAGGGTGGTTTGGTTGGAGCACTTGGTGGGGGCCAGAAGTGCATGGCAGGGCTCCGCAAAAATGGAAACTTTTTAGACCCATCGGAGGGCGCTCACAAGGTATGATTGGAGCCCGCAAGGCTGCTGAGCACCACTTTGCTTCTTGACATGATTTTGGCTCGGCCCGATGACGCGATCATCATTCTTAACACTTTTTGTGGAGAGAACCTTGAGTTTAATGGTTCACTGGTTTGGCAAAAAGGCTTCCGGCAACAGCATGCTTTGATTCTTTAAGAAATTATCAAAGCCTCACTTTTAACTATCTTTGGGGAACCAACCTGAAAGTAAACAAAAACATGCAAATGAAGCTAATATATACAATATGATCAACTAATGGACTTAACTAATGCAAATAAGGGCACTTGAATATGCAATATTCGGCGCTTATTACGCACTAGGGTGGTCTTCCCAGTGGGTTAATGCCCAGAATAACTGTTTTGTTCTTGGTACATTCTAAGACGTGATGTCCAAGTCTTCCATTATTTGATTTCGCATTCAATTTCAAGTTAACAATCATGTTTAATTGTGACTTGTGATTTTGGTTGTTAAAGATTTAATGTTGTTAAGTACATTATGCATTATGATTTTGAATGAGTCATAGCATGTTTTTAATGTTATTAAGTACATTTATGTTTTTATGATCTTCAATGAATCATTTCAAACTTTGATGTTTTTAAGTACATTATGTTTTAAATGTTCAAATGTAGCTTAGGAATGATCCTATAAATTCATTTGGAACATAGACGTTAGGTGTCATGACCCACTTTTGTCGTTTTTGCACTTTATAGAAAAACAGTTTTTTACCACGGTTTTAAAAAAACCGTGGTAGAAGACCCTATCTACCACGGTTTTAAAATAACCGTGGTAGAAAGTATATTCTTTTACCACGGTTATAATGAAATTTAGGCAGGTCTTTCTACCACGGTTTAAAAATAACCGTGGTAGAAAGTATATTCTTTTAACACGGTTTAAAAATAACTGTGGTAGTAAGTATATGATTTTACCACGGTTATTTTTATAATCGTGGTAGAAAGTGAATTAGTAATTTCGGCGGGTCTTTTTACGACGGTTATTTTGATCACCGTGGTAGAAGGTAAATTATTTTTAAAGTAATTTAGGTGGATTTTTCTATCACGGTTATTTTAAAACCGTGTAGAAAAGTGAAATTTTTTTACTTACCTTTTGGCAGGTTTTATTCCCACTAGTGTCAATAAAAATATATATCTATGTAAAATATATATACTGCTCACATATATAGAAACCACACAGTTATAGAACACAAACATATATGTCAAAAGTCGGCCACCCCTTTCTCGATCTGGTTCACAATTCGGAGGCAGCGACGCAAGAGGAAGCTCCTACGTCGCTTGCTGTCGAGGAGAAGCCGCCGGAGAAGGAAGAAGATAAGAAAGCAGAGCAAGGAGATGAAAAGAAAGCCAGCCACCCCCTTTCTCTCAGACCGTCCAAGCCGTCATTCCTCTTTCTCTCCAAGCCCAACCCTTCTATCGAAGCCACTGAGGGTTAAATCGATAGTCAGCGCAGCGTTAGAGCAGATAAGATAGCGTCACAGCTGATTGGCGTTGAGATTGAACAAGGATTCACCCCTTTCTCTAAGCCCTAACCCTAGCTCCCTCTCTCATTCGAAGCCCTAAATTTGAAGGAAATGAATTGAGGTTTGTATTTTCATCCCCTGTTATTTTCATCAAATTGATACTCAAATAGGTATGGTATGGGATTCGCCCCATACTTCTAACAGAGAGAGTGGTTAATTTGGTGGGATTCGCCCCATACATCTATACATGCATAAGATTATATATATATATCTATATATATAGCTGATTTTTTTGGTAATAAAAAGCTTAATAACATATCTATACGTATAAAAACTCTATACTTTTATCATACAAAATCTTTCATTTGCTATGCTTATCTTTATGCGAGCCTATATATCAATATTTTGTGTGTAGGGTTTGGTGGTGCTGTAGCAGGAAGAGGAATCAAACTGAAATGGAGTAATTTGATGCCTCAAAGGATTCGTCAGAGGGTGTAGTGGGTGATTCTCAGTTGCTTGAACAGAAAAAGGCTACAATTCGCCTTGGGGGTCCCATAAAACTCTAGGTACTCTCCCGCATTTTCTCTATGTTCTCGATTCTTGTTTGTGTGTATGCGTGTGTTTTGGTGATCAATAATTTTACTCATGCACGACCATTTTTGTTTGCCTAATAAGTTATACCATTTTCTTGGAGGATATGGGTTGTTCTTGATTTCACGATTGTATATATTTGTGATGAATGTTACAATTGTCCTAGGGCTTTGTTATCATATACAGAGTCTCTGTTTCTTTTTCATACTTTGATATTCAAATTAAATTTCTATAGTGGGATTTCACTTAATTTTGACTATAATGAAAATGTTGCTGATGCTGATTACCGTTGGCTGAAATTTTTGTGTGATTGGTTGTAGTTTTTTTTTTTTTGGCAGGAAATACTAGTTTCATTCCTTATGATGATAATGGTTGTTCACAATTAGAGTTTTTCCTTTAAAAGTATGATGCTTTGTCTAAAATTGATAGAATACTGGATAAAAAATGAACAATTAGAATCTTATGTATGGTTCGGATTTGTGGACTTTGTAGGATTCAAAAGTTTTGTTTTCTGAAGATATTTCACTGATTACGAAAACACAAAATTCATGAATTTCAAAACCCATAATCTTCTTGAATTTAAAGCAAAATTAAAAAATCTAGTGTGCTTCCAGATAGCAGTAGATAGGAAATCTTTTTTTTTTTTTTTTTTTTTTTTTTTTTGTGCACTTATCTAGTTTACTGTATAAATTAGTTTTTCCTGTGAGTATACATACTTTCCTTGTACATATCATGCATCATATATATATATATATATATAGCTATATATCTTTTATTGTTCATCTATCTTTGATAAGGATATCAAGTTTGATAAAGTATTGGATGATTATATAATGCATGTCTCCTATAGTTATCACATTTTTTAATGGTACTGATCTATGATGTGTTAGTGTTCTTCATTTCAATAAATTCAGGAAGAATATATAGATCCCACCATATTAATTATATGTATGTTTAATGTATATATATGTGGTTGTTACCAAATTATATATATCACTCGATCAATGTATGGAATATAATTGTTTCCACCAAACATTCCAAAAGGGATTTGAGTTAATTCCTACAAAATTCATGAACGAGTACCATCTTGTTATATAAATGGAAATAGAATTTATTATGTATCCAAAAGTTATACATTTATGTTGCATTGCATGTACATTTTTTCTAGTGTGCATACATGTGTATGTGAATATTGTAAGTTATATGGTCTTTATGTGCGATAAAATTCTTTTATGACTACACAATTTTAATGCTTTTTATACTCGTACTTAGGGGGGTTACGTGCCTTTAAGTGACCAATTTTGTGGTGTATCTTGAACTTTATTACCTTATTGGTACATCGGCCCGTGTGGAGGCCATTTTTATTTCTTGTTGTAAAATGTTGAAAGCATGGGAGTATGAGATCATCGTATGTGGAGGTTTTGATTGATTGTTGTGGAGGAGAAGTTGTTGATATCTTGTTTATACCTTTACTTAAATTTTTTAGTTTTACATGGAATAGTAGTTTACTTAAATTTTTTACTTTTACATGGAATAGTAGTTTGTCTTTGCTTGAAAATTTTGAAACCTTTCCATCTATTATTAGAACCATACTTTATTGCACAAATTTTATTAGTTAATGCTTTTTTAATTCATGTTTATATTCTATCTAAAACACCCACCAAGAATAATTGAAATTTAGAATTCAAAAACTTGTAAATCCTATGAAAAATTAATTAAGTTTCCAAAACATTCTCAATTGACAGAACAAAAAAATTAATTAAGTTTCCAAAACTTGTATTCTAACTAAAGTTTTGTTCAAATCCAAATTTTAGTCTATTCAAATCAATAAAAATAAAAAATAAAAATAAACTACTCCAAATTTTCTCATCAACCCCATCTGTTAGGAATGATCTCCAAAACTCTTACTAGAAATCGCAGATGGAGAGATCATGACGATGGCTATTTATGGTTTGGTAATTATTGCAAACAAAAGAGAACCAGTAAGGTAGAATCATGAGTCCCGAATACATAACCCAACTCTGGTGTTGCAGGTGTGAATTCCTTAGTCAACTTTTTAGCGTTAAGTTCCTAAATCTCCTTATGTACTTCATTTCTCTCCAGTTTTGCTAATAAGGACCATTTTCTACATTACAGTTAATATGTAAAAGGCTATATGTATCAGTGTCACAATCTCATGGGTGGCCTTTAGAAGTCTCTGTGCTTCATCCGTATGAGTAATACCATCAATAGGCTCTCGAGAGACTTGTTTCTTTGAAGAACTTCCATGACCGGCTTTAGTTGAAACTTGAGAGTAGTATGTCTTGGTATTTCGGAAATGGACTGGCTCAGTCCCTGGAATTCCCAAGCTTGCAGATTTCGATGTCTTTGGCTCCAACATGTGGCTATTGTTCTGTCATTAAAACATTAACATTGATTTCAATGTTAGTGAGGTCACATAACAAATGCATCCATCTTCTTAAGAAAGATTTTGATGTTTAGAAGCATAAAACATCTATTTGCAACACCCTCAGTTTGAGTACGAAAAATAAATTGAGTTGCAGACCTATGTGAACGAGTGCAAGTGCGTGTGTAAGATCAAGAGACAAATAGTAAGAGAGAGGGAGAGAGAGACTTGATCAATCGAGCCATATTGAGGTCTTTAAGTGATGTATTTGAAGCATTTGTATCCGTTGCTGCATCTAATTAACCAAATAAAAAAGTTGGAAACATAAGCTAGCGAATGGACCTTGTCCGAAAACAAACATCTTGATTGAGTTGGTATATATATATATGTTACCAAGTAGCACACTACTAGGTTTAGAAATGAAACTGAAGAATGGAATTAAAACAGAGCACCTTTAGCATTATAGTGAGTCAATTCCTCTAGAAATTGAGATACTTGCATTACATATATACAAGTTTGATATTTCCCATATACTGTGCTCTAATTAGAACATTTCTAATAACAAAAGGGGATCTTCCAAGCATAGTAATTGCTTTTCTTTTCTTTTCAATTTTTTTTCCTCAATCAGTTATTCTTAGGAGGGTGGTGTTTTGGTAAATGGTAATCAGCACTTGAAGCTACAAAACCATCCAATTTGAACTTTTTGAGAATATTACTTTTGTCACCGACTATACATTTCACATCCAAATCTTCCTTCCTTTCAAGATCATAACATTTTATGGAAGAATAGGTTGCACCTGATATCTTTGTAGTCTCTTTATCTACTACCATTTTCCTTCCTCCAATCCCCATTTTCCTAGCGGCAGCAGCAGGAATTCTGTCCAAAAATTCCTGTTCAATCACATTTACACTTGGTTATCAAAGTTTATAAAAGATATGTAACTTTTAGCATACTAAAACACACACACACACACACACACACACACATATAATAACAAGACTAGGTACCTTTTGAGCAGATGCAAAATTTTTAGTAGTCGCCGTTAACCCAACTCCATCAATCATCATACCTGCAAAAAGAGGTGAAAAGAGCAATTATACACCTGAACCTGTCATAGTCTGCTTGTTTTATGTACACACACAAAAAAAAAAAAAAAAGAGTTGTTGGAGAAGAAATTAAACTGCCTACCTTGATGAACATGTGCAGAGGAGTTCCAGAGGGCATGCAAAACAAAGAGAAGGCATAGTACTAAGCTTGCAAACTTAATGGTCACCAGTTATGAGTTCTTTTTCTTTCCTAGCTATGTATGTTAGTTGCTAAGCAACCAAAAGAGAAGAAAAATGAAAATACAATGTGAATTTTATAGAGTTCAAACCTCAAACCATAGCTAAGGTACCAACACCTGGCTTAGTAAAATATGGGTTCTGACTCCTGGGTATGTGCAGGGCCTAGGGAGGCCAAACATAAATATTTAATTAACTAAAATAATATATATGTTCTGAAAGAAAGAAATAAAATCAGTCTTCTTCATTTTAAATGTTTGAATATGGTGTCATGATTTCTTTTGGTGACGGGATGTCAATGACCCAAGATATTGAGTTAATACAAAGAGTAGATCTTTCAACGTACCTTTATTATAATGCTTGATTTGCTAGGTTTAATTTTGACAACTTTACAACTTGCTTTATATTCTCTAACTTCAGCTATTACATCTTTGTAGGTCAAAGTTAGGATTGCAGTTGCCATTACATTTTTTGTTGGCGTTATATTTTTTGTATGGCTCATGAAGAAGTTGCATATATGTAATGGAAGAAAGAGACTAAAACAGAGCAAGAAAATATAAGAATTTTTGTTTTATTTTGGTGTGGCATAAGAAGCTAGAAATTTGTATATGGTTAATTTTTGTATAAAACAATGTTTTGGAATTGGTTATATATATATATTTATATATATATATAAGATGTTAATGGTTAGTTATAAGTTATTTTGGTTATGACGCTATTTTTAATTTATTTAGTGGTTGTTTCTAGAATCCTTGCAAGGCTGGTAGTAGGGAAAAAAAAGGCCTCGTGAGGGCTGCACTATTTTATATATATTTTTTAAATTATATAACACTTTTAACCACGGTTTTGAACCGTGGTAGAAAACTCTTTTTCAACCACAGTTCTGCACTATGGTAGAAAATTTAATTTCTACCACGATACAAAACCATGGTAGAAAGAATGACTTCACGGTTGGAAAAGGACTTTCTACCACAGTTCCGCACCATGGTAGAAAGAGGACTTACTACCACGGTGAGAAACTGTGGTAGAAAGAGGACTTACTATCACGGCTGTTTCTACCACGGTTCAAAACCGTGGTAGAAAGTGTTTTCCACCGTGGTAAAAAGTTAATTTTCTTGTAGTGTTAGATTTCAAGTTGATAACTTTGAGAATCTATGTCTTGATACATTGTGTTAGAAATTCTAATCATATTAAATTGTTATATTTAGTTGTTTTCGCACTTTAGATTTCAAGTTGTTAACTTTGAGAATCTATGTCTTGATGTATTGTGTTAGAAATTCTAATCATACTAAATTGTTATATTTAGTTGTTTTCGCACTTTAGATTTCAAGTTGATAATTTTGAGAATCCACATCATGTTGCTTTGTATAACATGCTCCTATGTTATTGAAATTACATGAATGATGTGTTTAATGCTAGAAATGATCTAAGGTAGCTTAGGATGCTCCCTGAGTCTCACCTTTGATGTAGACGCTAGGTTGCATGGACCATATGTATTGATTTACATCAATTTAATGAACAGTAAAATGCTAGGTTTATGCATGCACATTTCCTATGAGTAGCTTTATGTTACTCACCCACGTAGTGGGGAAAATTTTTAGGTACAGAAATTAAAGTTGAGACTCTCATTATGCTTGGATGATTTGTGGACTTGAAGACTTCCATTCTTGTAAAGATTGACTCGAAATACCACTCGTAACCTTGTATGTCAAAATGTGTATATTTGATTCCATATATGTAAAGTGTACATAAGTACACCTTTTGTAATTTATTTGATATCTATGATTTGAGGCCGAAGGCCATAAACTTTAAAGTTCAAGTGTATGCATTTAAATTCCATGTCTTATATTTGAAATGTAATTTTCCTAATTTTGAGGTTTGGCATGTGAGTTGGAGTAAACATTATGTAATGAGGCCATGGGCCATTGTAACACACTTCAATACTTAAAGTACACTTGTTGGCATACTTACATAGCTTAAAATCTTGTTTTTAGACCAATTTCGTGTTAGGGTTTGAGGCTTGGGTGAAGCCTTAACATTTCTTATGCATAACAGGTCATTCAGCACCATCTTGAGTCATTTTGGTCATCCAAAATGCTAGTTCGGTCAACTGATGGCTTTTGGAAATTTCATTGCACAGTAAAACACTTGTTCTAGTAGCCATTTTCACTATTTGGGCCTATTTCGGTCGACCGATGCCTTATTTCAGTCTACCGAAGTAACCTCCCCTCAAAAATATTTTTTAGAAAATTTTTTATCCAGTTAGGTCGTCCGAAACTCCATTTTAGTTGACTGAAATAGCCCTCCTACACCAGCCTTCCAGATTTTCATTCAACATTATTGTTACGACTTCAAATGGTAATAACTTCTTCATTTCTAATTCAAATGGGGTGATTCTTGAGCCTAAAGTCAAGGATTTTGAGTCATCTTTCTAATGGTACCAATGCCATTCTCATATTAAAAACACAATGGGAGTTATTCATATTTTAGTGAGATAGTGTCAGTTTTCACTTAAACCGGGAAAGGGTTTTTTTGTGGGATTCTTGGCCAAAGTTCTTAGATCTTTTAGAATATTGTGAAATGATTGGATTAGGTTGTATGGACCTCATTTGACTTGGTTAGAGTCAAATCTCTCTTCTCATTTGTGAATTGACCATTTTGCCCCTTAGTTAACGGATTTTGCCCGTTTTGACCTTTGTTTCCACTTTCATTCTCTTTGAGTTTCGTGACTTCATGGAAAGTCACTTGGGTGTCTTAGGGATGATTGATATCTCTATAGACCTCATTTATGTTTTGCTTCCGCATTTCGGATCCGTTATCGGGTCAACTTTCAATTCGTCGTTGATGCACAAGGTTGGAAAACTTAGGCCGTCACATATACTTTTACAAGGCTGTCAATGAGCATGCATATTGAAGATATTTTCTGTAAAGGTGGCAGAGGTATAATAGTACATTCACAAGGGAATTACATATTATCTATGGCTAATGATTGGATAATTGTGGCACATACATTTCCTCTTTGAGATATGATTCGTATTGATAAAGTACTATATATATGCTGCTATAGGCATTCTAGGGTTTAAACTTTTGAGTGAACCCTAAAAGCGAGCTGCAGTGAAAGTGAATTAAACAGCTGAATATAAACACACTTTTTTGAGATTATATGTTATGATGAAAGATTAATTAAAGCTCAGAAATCCATTCAGAGAATTCACAAGTATAGAGGATCAAATGGAGGCCTATAGATGTGATTTTTGTTGGTGCGAAAGCTGTGTTAGAGGCCTAAGTTTGGTTTGAGCTTGTTGCGGTGCTTGTACAAGGTTAAGACTAGTGTAACTTCACATCTTACATCTATAGAAAGCATGTTTATGACCATCTTTTAGCTGCATTTGATTTTGATGTCTTAGACCTGTGTATCAGCTTATTTTCTGGTTTAACTTGTTGATATGAACTTATTATCACTATATCTTGCAGTGAGTTCCATTATTATCATCTTAAAAGTTTCTATAGCTGAATCAAGGCTGTTAAAGTTGAGGTTTGCATAATATTAAGGTTAATACAATTTTTAACCTTGTGAAACCATAGTTTTGAAGTTTCGACAGAACAGAGCCTGTTGTTGAGCAGTATTTGTATATATATACTATATTCACCTTCATTATCTTTTAAGCATGACTGAAATGAAGATACAAGGTTATGGATTCCATCACTGAGTTTGTGGGACATGAAATTCCTATTCTACCCCTCAAACACTAGTTTCAGCACAATGATAACAGGGTGCCTGTGTTGATACTTTAAGCCTATTTCTCACTCTGATATTGTATTATAGCTTAATTATTATTAATTTTTTTTTTTTTACCTTTTTATGTATTGGTTGTGAGCTGTGAGTGCTCATTTGGTCCAAGCACGGGTGTTGTGGAAGAGGGGAGTGTAGTATGCATTTAGTGTTACTAGTGTGTGTGTAGAGGCTGTGAAAGTTAGTGTTTCATCTTGTACAAAGGTGTGTCAGAGAGTGAGTGTGAGGACTTGCATTTTTTGGCATTTTTATCATTTTTTGGACATGTTGGCATTCATGCATTTTATTTTATTGTCAAAAATTATGATTTATTTTGCAAATGAGTTTAATTTTAATTAAACGTCATTTGTTTATTTCATAAAGGGCATTATGGACTTTTTGTTTTACAAATGGAATATATGGTATTTGATAATTTTATAAAGGGTAAAGTAGACTTTTACTATGCAAAATGCATAATTGGTATTTGGTTAGTTGTGAAAGGGTATTCTTGATTTTTATCATTTAAATGGCATGAATGGTATTTAGTAGGAAATAAAAGGACTTTTGAGTCATTTCATATGATTTTGGTTTTAATCCATGGAGGGGATGACATGTGTGGGTGTATGTGGTTGCACCATATCCATTCATTTTATAACATATAGTATGACTATTGTTTTGTTCCTAGAAATAGTTCTGTAAAATCCAATTTTCGTGCTTTCTACTTCCTTTCCATAGCAATACTTTCTAAGCTAAATTTTGGAAGCTTTGTGTTGGGATTTTGATGGGGCTTTGTGAAGGAAAAATGTTCCTTGGGTAGTGAGGGTTCTTTTGATATCAAACTTAAGTCCATTATTTTGTTGCTGGTTTTGGAAAGTGGTGTTAAAAGAAGAGGGTTTTGGTTGCAAACAATGAAGGAAGTGTTCATCATTTTTTTTTATCTTGGAAAGCTTTGATCCATCGTTTGGGTTGTTTAAAGTTGGGGTTGTTGCTGAGTTTCAAGCCTCTTTGAGGTAGGATAACTTAACTCTCACACCCTTTACCTTTAAGGAATCAATTCTATGTGTTTTGTGCTTAAAACATAGGCTGCTACTTATTTTTCGCAATTCTGGAATCACAGCAACCTGAACTTCAAAGGATCATAATATCCTCATTTTAAATCTAAATCGAGCGATTTTTGAGTCTAAATTGACTAGCTCGAAACAAGATTTCCAACAATACCAATTTCAGCCTAACATTCCAACTGTGGAAAAAGTGATGACCCTGTAAACATAGGCTGCCAGTTTTGCACTGTAATTTGCAGAATTTCCTACACAGCGATTGGAACTTCAACTGACCACAACTTCCTCATTTTAAATCCAAATTGAGCAATTTTTGAGTCTAAATTGACTAGCTCAAAACAAGCTTTCCAACGATACCAATTTCAGCCCTAGATTCCAACTGTGGAAAAAGTTATGACCTTAAAACATAGGCTGCTACTTGAAAATTAGAATATTGGTTGTTTGATATGGGAAGTTTTGTACTTGATTTTCTAAATGTTATTAAGCACTGTATATGTTGTTATGTGGTAAATGTGAGTTAGAAGGCATGCTTCTTATTTTATACAACCATGGATTACTTAGCCTGTTAATTTACCATGCTTGGGTGTGGATTAAAATGCAATACCATGATATTGTATATGAGTTGAGATTTCCATATTTATTTCATTATCTGTATATCATGTTATATAAATGTATATGCATCTCACATGAGCATGGGGGTGATGTTGGAAGGAAAAGGAAAGTGCAAATGTTTCATTAAATGGTTTTCAAAATCGGATAACAGGGAGGTGCCTTGTATCCGTGGGTTTGGAAAAAAAAAAGGAATTGAATTAATGACTTCAAAAACAGGATAAGGAGTTGCCTTCTCTGTACAGTTAATGGGAATCTAGAGGAGACGTAGGGAGTGGCTCTACGCGTAGTTGTGTCACTAGAGCCCTAAAATGATCACAAGGAGTGGCCTTGTATCAGTGATAGATGACCAACTCTCTTCTCGTGGTACTGGGGAGCAGCCCTGGAAGGATTACATTAACTATTTGTGATGAAAATGGGATTTTGGGAGGTGAGAGGTGTCAGTGGCATTAGCATTAGCATTAGCATTACATGACATTTCATTTTATTATCTCATATGATATATTGCCTTCTCTTGAGCTTATATGATCCCTTTATCTTTTTTCCGTTCTTTGTTTGGATTCACGGAGGTATTAAGGAGTGCGCTTTAAGTAATTCCTGTTGAGCTGTGGTTGCTCATTCCTATTTTATTCACATCTTTTCAGGTCATAGCATGGATGGTGTGGAGGGTGTTCCTCCTCAGCTGTAGAGAGAGTCGAGGTTAGTGTTGTTGTGTTATATTCCGTATAATAGTTTATGTTTTGTCTTATATTTTTTTAGAATATTTATGGCATGTAATAAGTGTTATTTCGGACTTTAAACTTTGATGTTGTAATATTTGCATGTTATCTATTAATTTTCAGTCTTGTTTTTGTAAAGGGAAATAAATAGGTGGATGTATAAATGAGGCAGGTTACAGGGATAGTTTTATTTATTTATTTATTATTATTTTGATAGTGTGATTGTTTGTGTGTTGTGTTCACAATTCGGAGTACGGTCTAGGGGCGTGATAGTTATGGTATTAGAGCATGGTTCCTATAACCTAGGGACGACGGGTAGAGGTCTGTCTACAGCTGTGTGTATAGGGGTTTGCATTGTCTTATATGCTTACTTGTTTATCTGTTAGCCTTGCAAGCATGCTTCTGTGTATATGTGATTACGTGTTTATATGATTATGATAAAGCATGCTATGTGTTTAAAGGTTTTGATTCCTATAAGTCAGTTTGGGACTGTGGATAGTGACATATTATTGACTTGAATTTCATTTGAGTATGCCGCCTCGTTAGAAGGGTCAGGCATTGGAAGGCCTCGGAGAGAAGCCTAGTGTTAGATATGTTGGGGAGAGTTTAACGTCTTTTCCCATGAGACTAGAGGATGTACCATCACCTGTAAAGGAGGGTGAACGACCTGTTTAATAGGTAGTGGTTCAGTGACAGAAGGCTAGTCTAGTAAAAGACAGAGAAGTGGTCTATCTCAGTCTGGAGGGTAGCAGCCAATGCGACCTATTCCTTTGACTCCTGTGCTATCGGGATTGGGTAGGAGTGAAGTTGTCTGTTTTCGATGCCAATAGCTTGGGCACTATAAGATGGAGTATCCGTAGTCATTTCATACTGGAGTTTGCTTTGAGTGTGGTCAGCAAGGCCACAAATTAGAGATTATCTGAGGAGAGCTGGGGTTTTGGGTAGTGGTCGAGGTGCATAGTAAAAGCCGTCTAGGTCGGCCATAGCACAGTTTGGATGTAGACCACCACCACCACCGCAGCAGCTATGTCTTCTCAACGATCGAGGCAACAGCCTGGGGTTCAGGCTGGAAGTTCACAGGCCAAGAAGTATCCCAGGGTTGTATGTTTGTAGTTGTTCTTGAGTCATTTTCGGGACCTTTAATGGTGAAGGGTACATTTGTTTTTGCATCGGGACTAGAGATCAGTTTTCTGGACTGAGTGTTATAGGGATAAGACGATTAGTGGTTTATGGGTTTTGAGTAGCGTGGTACCTCTATAGTGGTCAGATATCCTCATTGGACTTTGTTGGGTTTATATTATGAGGTGATACCAATGCGGCATAGTTTAGGGGTGCAGTGATTAGTGTTTGGCACATGTGAGCGTTTGCGTACATAATGGTGGAATGTTTAGTTGTGATTAATGATTAGGGAGTCTAGAGTTGGATTATGATGTTAGAGAAGTTTTCAATTAAAATTCATGTTGGAAGTGAGTCTTAGTGACTTATGCTTCGATTTAAGGGGGGCTAGTGATATTGTTATTGTTGTTTGGGCATAGGATGGCCATATGGACCAGCCGAACATTTTGGATCATATCCAGCCCAAATGTACAATGTCAGGACATTGACAGAAAAGGGGATTGGTTGTAGCTTGAGTGATACTTGTTGTTCGGGACGCTTCACAGTTGCCTCGAAAGTAGGATTTTGTTTTGATCTTATCATTCTTGAGATGACGGGGTTGACGTCATTCTTGGAATGGATTGGTTATCATCATTTTCATGCCATAATTGATTGCTTTAGTGGTAGAGTTTCAGTGTGTACGCTGGAGGGAGATTGTTTTGTGTTTGTGGGAGATCGGGGTGATTCCCTAGTTTCAGCTTGTTATGGTGTTCGTGGTTGGGACCGTTGTGCTTTCTTCTTAGCTAACATTTTATCTGAAGAAGATGGTAATATGGGGACAATTAATCTGTCAGTTGTTTGTGACTTATTGGATGTGTTTTCGGGTGACTTACCAGATTTACCACCTAGAAGAGAGGTTGAGTTGGTGATTGACTTGATGCCTGGTACTGCGCCAATTTCTATGGCTCCGTATCATATGGCATCAGCAGAGCTAGAAGAATTAAAGAAACAATTGGATGATTTGAGGCTGAAGGGTTTTATTCGGCCTAGTGTTTCACCATGGGGCGCTCCAGTGTTGTTTGCAAAGAAAAAGGATGGTTCTATGAGGTTGTGCATTGATTACCGGAAATTGAATCAGGCAACCATCAAGAACAAGTATCCTTTACCAAGGATTGACGATTTGTTTGATCAGTTGAGGGGAGTTATTTGCTTTTCCAAGATTGATTTGAGATTTGGTTACTACCAGTTACGAGTTCGGGATGAGGATATTCTGAAGACAGTTTTTCATACGTAGTATGGTCATTATGAGTTCCTTGTGATGCCTTTTGGTTTGACGAATGCGCTAATGACATTCATGGATCTGATGCACCGTGTCTTTCACAAATATCTGGATCAGTTTGTGGTAGTGTTTGTGGATGACATTCTTGTGTATTCATGATCTCGGGAGGATAACGAGATTCATTTGAGGATAGTGTTACAGATGCAAAGAGAGCACCATTTGTATGCCAAGTATTCAAAGTGTGAATTTTGGCTACAAGAGGTGAAGTTTTTAGGACATGTTATTTCAGGCAGTGGGGTTTCAGTTGATCCTTCGAAGATAGAAGCAGTTCTGGATTGGGAACGTCCCAAGAATGTGTATGAGATTCAGAGTTTTCTTGACTTAGCAGGTTATTACTGTAAGTTTGTGAGGGACTTCTCTCACTTAGCTACTTCTATGACTCGGATGACCCAAAAGGGGATCAGATTTGATTGGACTGAAGCTTGTGAGTCGTCTTTTCAGGAGTTGAAGACTAGATTGACTACAGCTCTAGTATTAGTGATACTTGAGCGTGGCTTGGGTTATGTTGTCTTTTGTGATGCATCTCGGGATGGTTTGGGTTGTGTGTTGATGCAAGGTGGTAAGGTAGTGGCTTATGGATCTAGACAGTTGAAGATTCACGAGCTTAAATATCTCACTCATGACTTGGAGTTGGCAGCAATTGTCTTTGCTTTGAAAAGCTGGAGGCATTATTTGTACGGTGAGAGATTCGAGGTTTTCTCGGATCACAAGAGTTCCAGTACCTTTTCTCTCAGAAGGACTTGAATAACAGACAGAGGCGATGGGTTGAGTATTTGGAAGATTATGATTTTAATTTGCAGTATCATCCGGGTAAGGCGAATGTGGTAGCAGATGCCTTAAGCCGGAAATCTCATGGAGTTTTGGCTGGGTTGGCTATTCAGAAATGGAAGATGTTGGAGGATCTAGCAAAGATGGGATTATAGTGTTGTGATGATAGTATTGGTTATGAGACAACTTTTCTGTTTAGTCTTGTGGTTCAACCTACTCTTGTTACATGGGTGATTGAGGCACAGAGACATGACTTAGATTTAGCTGCCATTCATCAGTTGATTTCAGGTGGGGACACAGTAAAGGACTGGACTTTACACACAGATGGTGGTTTATGGTTCAGAGGTTTGCTTGTGGTTCCTACGGTTTGTCGGGAGGATGTGTTACGGGAGTTTCACACTTCTCATTTTACGGTGCATCCAGGTGGTACTAAAATGTATCATAATTTGAAACGCCAGTATTGGTGGAATGGGATAAAGGCAGATGTAGCTCAGTTTGTTGCTAGATGTCTTACTTGTCAGCAGGTAAAGGCAGAGCATCAGAGACCTGCAGGTTTGTTGCAAACATTGCCAGTAGCATAGTGGAAATAGGAATGTATTGCTATGGATTTTATGATAGGACTTCTGAGGTCAAAGAGAGGTAATGAGTCTGTTTGGGTCATTATTGATAGGTTGACTAAGACCGCTCACTTTTTGCCTGTTAAGGTGACAGATTCTGCTGAGGCACTTGGCAGATTGTATGTCAGAGAGATTGTCAGATTGCATGGGGTTCCATTGTCCATTGTTTCGGACAGGGATGCCAAGTTCACATCGAAGTTCTGGGAAGGGCTTCATGCAGCATTTGGTTCACCGTTGCATTTTAGTACGGAATTCCATCCGCAGACGGACGGCCAGTCGGAGCGTACTATCCAAATCTTGGAAGATATGCTTCGGGCCTATGTACTTGATTTTGGTGGTAGTTGGGAGGACCACTTACCTCTTGTTGAGTTTGCCTACAACAATAGCTATCAGTCGAGCATTGAGATGTCTCCTTTCGAGGCATTGTATAGTAGGCCTTGTCGTTCTCCTGTTTGTTGGACTGAGGTGGGGGAGACAGCCGCTTTAAGGCCAGACATTGTCTTGGAAACCACTGAAAAGATTAAGTGATTCGGCAGCAGTTGTTGACTGCTCAGAGCCGACAGAAAAGTTACATAGCTAGATGGAAACGACTATTGTCCTTTGAGGTGGGAGACCACGTGTTTCTTAAGGTTTCTCTGCAAAAAGGATTGCTATGGTTTGGAAAGAGTGGCAAGTTGTCACCTCGTTTCATTGGGCCATTTGAGATTTTGGATCGAGTGGGCGAGGTGGCTTACGGATTGGCATTGCCACCACAAATGGACAGGGTCCATAATGTGTTTTATGTTTCGATGTTACGGAAGTATGAGCCGGATTCATCACATGTATTGAGTTGGGTTGATGCTGATATTGATGAGGATGTTTCTTACGAGGAGGGACCCGTTTAGATTCTTGACACTCGGGACAAAGTGTTAAGGGGTAAAACGATGACTCTTGTGAAGGTTTTGTGGCGACATCACGGTGTTGAAGAGGCTACATGGGAATGGGAACAGGATGTTCGTTCTGCGTATCCGAGTTTGTTTTCTTCCCCAGGTACGACTTGATTTCGGGGACGAAATCCTTGTATGTTGGGGAGACTGTGAGGACTTGCATTTTTGGCATTTTAATCATTTTTCGGACATGTTGGCATTCATGCATTTTATTTTACTGTCAAAAATTATGATTTATTTTGCAAATGAGTTTAATTTTAATTAAATGTCATTTGTTTATTTCATAAAGGGCATTATGGACTTTTTGTTTTACAAATGGAATACATGGTATTTGATAATTTTATAAAGGGCAAAGTAGATTTTTACTATGCAAAATGCATAATTGGCATTTGGTTAGTTGTGAAAGGGTATTCTTAACTTTTATCATGGAAATGGCATCAATGGTATTTAGTAGGAAATTAAAGGACTTTTGAGTCATTTCATATGATTTTGGGTTTAATCCATGGAGGGGATGACATGTGTCGGTGTATGTGGTTGCACCATATCCAATCATTTTATAACATATAGTATGACTATTGTTTTGTTCCTAGAAACAGTTCTATAAAATCAAATTTTTGTGCTTTCTATTTCCTTTCCATAGTAATACTTTTTAAGCTAAATTTTGGAAGCTTTGTGCTGGGATTTTGATGGGGCTTTGTGAAGGAAAAATGTTCATTGGGTAGTGACGGTTCTTTTGATATCAAAATTAAGTCCATTCATTTATTGCTGGGTTTGGAAAGTGGTGTTAAAAGAAGAGGGTTTTGGTTGCAAACAATGAAGGAAGTGTTCTTCATTTTTTTTTTTTTTATCTTGGAAAGCTTTGATCCATCGTTTAGGTTGCTTAAAGATGTGGTTGTTGCTGAGTTTCAAGCTTCTTTGAGGTAGGATTACTTAACTCTCACACCCTTTACCTTTAAGGAATCAATTCTATGTGTTTTGTGTTTAAAACATAGGCTGCTACTTATTTTTCGCAATTCTGGAATCATAGCAACCTGAACTTCAAAGGATCATAACGTCCTCATTTGAAATCCAAATTGAGCGATTTTTGAGTCTAAATTGACTAGCTCGAAACAAGATTTCCAACGATACCAATTTCAGCCTAAGATTCCGACTGTGGAAAAAAGTTATGACCCTATAAACATAGGCTGCCAGTTTTGCACTGTAATCTGTAGAATTTCCTACACAGCGACCTGAACTTCAACTGACCACAAATTCCTCATTTTAAATCCAAATTGAGTGATTTTTGAGTCTAAATTGACTACCTTGAAACAAGATGTCCAATGATACCAATTTCAGCCTCAGATTCCAGTTGTGGAAAAAGTTATGACCTTGTAAACATAGGCTGCTACTTGAAAATTAGAATATTGGTTGTTATGATATGGGAAGTTTAGTATTTGATTTTTGAAATGTTATTAAGCACTGTATATGTTGTTATGTGGTAAATGTGAGTTAGAAGGCATGCTTCTTATTTTATACAACCATGGATTACTTAGCCTGTTAATTTACCATGCTTGGGTGTGGATTAAAATGCAATACCATGATATTGTATATGAGTTGAGATTTCCATATTTATTTCATTATATGTATATCATATTATATAAATGTATATGCATCTCACATGAGCATGGGGGTGATGTTGGAAGGAAAAGGAAAGTGCAAATGTTTCATTAAATGGTTTTAAAAATCGGATAACAGGGAGGTGCCTTGTATCCGTGGGTTTGGAAAAGAAAAAGGAATTGAATTAATGACTTCAAAAACCGGATAAGGAGTTGCCTTCTCTGTACAGTTAATGGGAATCTAGAGGAGACGTAGGGAGTGGCTCTACGCGTAGTTGTGTCACTAGAGCCCTAAAATGATCACAAGGAGTGGCCTTGTATCAGTGATAGATGACCAACTCTCTTCTCGCGGTACTGGGGAGCAGCCTTGGAAGGATTACATTAACTATTTGTGATGAAAATGGGATTTTGGGAGGTGAGAGGTGTCAGTGGCATTAGCATTGGCATTAGCATTACATGACATTTCATTTTATTATCTCATATGATATATTGCCTTCTCTTGAGCTTGTATGATCCCTTTATCTTTTTTCCGTTCTTTGTTTGGATTCACGGAGGTATTAAGGAGTGTGCTTTAAGTAATTCCTGCTGAGCTGTGGTTGCTCATTCCTATTTTATTCACATCTTTTCAGGGCATAGCAAGGATGGTGTGGAGGGTGTTCCTCCTCAGCTGTAGACAGAGTCGAGGCTTGTATTGTTTTGTTATATTCCGTATAATAGTTTATGTTTTGTCTTATATTTCTTAAGAATATTTCTGGCATGTAATAAGTGTTATTTCGGACTTTAAAACTTTGATGTTGTAATATTTGCATCTTATCTATTAATTTTCAGTCTTGTTTATGTAAAAGGAAATAAATAGGTGGATGTGTGGTTGAGATAGGTTACAAGGATAGTTTATTATTATTATTTTGAGACTATGATTGTTTGTGTGTTGTGTTCACAATCCGGACTACGGTCTAGGGGCATGACATTGAGATAGGTGAGTGTATAACTATTTGCATCCAACAAGTAGAGATTTTATTGGCTAAGGCTAAGAACTAAGGTTTTTCCTTATTGAGATGGTTTTCCTTGTAAATGCACTGAGTGTTGTAAGTGTGTTGATACGGCCCGAGCGTGTGCACAAAATAATGCATAACACTTTGAGTTTGGAAATTAATGTCAAGTGGGCATCATACTTTAAATTTATAAACTGCTTAACACATATACTATGTATTATGAGTGAAAAGGGATCGTCCTAAGAGATTATACGTGTTGGAATTTAATTTCGACTCTAATGTACCAAATGTTTGCAGAGGAGGGTTGGTTGTTTGATTACACTAAGATACAATTAATTAAAATGCAATAAAATTAAGCTAAAGTGAGATAGAGATTTAAAAGATGAGAAGTAAGGTCTTGGGGTGCATTGGAATCGCCACCAAGCTCGTTCACCAAGTCACACACTTTCTACTAATTGGGGAAAACCTTCTTATGAACAAAATGCGACTACCAATTACAATATTAAGCATGGACCATCAAATTCAAGTATGAATTGTTTACCTAACCAACAATTAAACCAATTGTAGAACAACCCATCAATTATAAGCATGACCCATCAAACTAATAACAATTATAGCACAAATCAATCTAGGGAATCATAGAATTTGCAATAATAAGCCATGGAATATCAAATCAAGTATTGATGTGACCCGACCGTGTGCACAAAATAATGTACAACACTTTAAGTTTGGAAATTAATTTATAAACCTCTTAATACCTATACTATATAGTATGAGTGAGAAAGGATCGTCCCAAGAGAGTATACGTGTTGGAATTTAACTTTGACTCTAATGTATCAAATGATTGCAAAGGAGAGTTGATTTTTGATTACACTAAAATTCAATTAATTAAAATGCAATTAAAATAAACAAAGTTGAGTTAGGGATTTAAGAGATGGGAAGTGAGGTCTTGGGGTGCATTGGAATTGCCACCAAGCTCGTTCACCAAATCACACACTTTCAACTATTTGGGGAAAACATTATTGTGAACAAAATGCGACTACCAATTGTTATATTAAGCATGGACCATCAAATTCAAGAATAAATTGTCTACCTAACCAATGAATAAACTAAGTGTAGCACAACCCATCAATTCTAAGCATGATCCATCAAATTAGTAACAATTGTAATACACATAAATCTAGAGAATCATGGAATTTGCAATAATAAGCCATGGAATATCAAATCAAGCATAGATTGTCTACCTACCTACAAGCATGAATTAAATTGTAAAACAACCCATTAAGCATAAGCATAATTGATTAATTCTAAAACGTGCGCAATTAAATCCCTTAAGCTTAGGTATTCTAGGACCTTTATCTATCACATTTTTCGGTCATAGACTAATTTCATGTTATTGCCCTTTTTAGGTACTTATCCCAAAAATAAGTTAATTCAGCTAAATAAGAGCTTAAAAGAAGTTATCTCAAACTGAATGGAAGAAAAGAGCAAAGTGGAAGCAAAAAGAAGCAAAGTGTGAAAAATCAGCAAGTTCGATCGATCTCAACATTCCTTCGATCGATCAGAGCAACATCTATCTAAACATATCAAGATGGATTCAAGCCTTTGTTTTTATCCAAAAGATCTCACCATCTTCGATCGATCCAACATTTCTCAGATAAATCAAAATTATTCGATCTTATCCATACCTACCACCCCACCTACCAATCTTGTCTCTGTCCTAAAATATCCCAAATATCTCAGAGATTTGTCTTTATTCAAAAAGGCACGCCAAGGATGATCGATCTCTGTAGCATTCGATGGATCTCACCAATGTTCGATCGATCTCAACACAGTTCGATCGATCGAACCTCCTCAAGTCTGGAATAAAATAAATTCTAGCTCATTAGAAGTTGGCTCATAGTGCAATCGTTGCAAGGACCTTAGTGCACGAATCCAGACCATTGGGTGTGACACTTGAGCCTCATATATAAGGATTTTGAGCCATTTTTACACATATCTTGAAAGATTGAACATATCTTCAAGACACATATCATATCTCATATCTTAGAGAGGAGGCTAGAGACTAGAGAGCTTTTACCCATCTTTGGGAGTTCTTTCATTCTTCTAGGGTTTCCATCAAGAAGGAGGTTATGCCTACCATGGAGATAACCTTTAAGGGTTAGATGACTACTTCAATGAGTGACTAGACATCTACTTGGGGCTAGAGTAGCCCCTAAGTTTGCTTCCTAGACCTAGTGTTTTGTATATTTTTGGGGATTTACTTATAATAAATGTTTTGATCTTAGATTTATATATATATCTTGTAGTTTTTACTTAATATGTGTGGATTAATTCTTTTAATTGACTTCTAACCATATGTCTATGTATGCTAGAATGGATGATTCATGTGCTTTTCTCTAGATTTAATGGAGTTTATGTATGTTTATATGTATGGATGAAATTAATCTAGAGATGGTCATAACATAGTGCTTAATTGAATATTCTTGTAATTTATTTGATGGTTCACACTTGTTTCTTGATGCATTATCCCACACCTTTAGCTTACTTAGTTTAATTTCCATATCTTTAGTGTAGATGTAGTGTAGTGGCTTTAGATTCATAGATAGATGGACAATCTATTCTTGTTCCTTGGTGTTCTATACTTATGAATGCAAATGGTGCATGCTTTTAGATAGTAGTGTGTGCATAAATTATGGTTTCATTGAATGGATTTTGGTCTCATTTGATAGGTTATGCTTTCCATTTGAATTGGCTAGACAATCTATACTTATTTGCCATCTATGCCTAGTTTCAATTAATGTCACACACACACAAAAGTTACAATTCAATTTCCCCCATTGATCAATAATTGCTAGTGTCTAGTGAAGTCAAGCTTAGTGGTGAGCTCTAGTACCCCAAGTCCTCTCCTCTATATATTTTTCCCTACATTCTAAATTGTTACCTTTTACTTGCTTTAATTTCAATTGCATTGTAGTTTAATCAACCAAACAAACCATCTTTTGATCATTTGACCTACCAACCCTATACATTGTTTCCATTACAAGCACGCCCACAATCCCTTCGGACGATCCCTACTCACCCTATCTATATTTTTAGTTAGAGGTAGTAGTGGCTTTTATAATTTTAAAACTTGGCTACATTGTACACTTACATTCTTAGTGCATCTTTAAATGTTGGTGCCCGCGATAACCACCAAGTTTTTGGCGCCGTTGCCGGGGATTCAATTGGCAGCGCCGTGTTTTTGAAGCAAATAAGAATTAGTACTCTTTTGATCATGTCTTTACTTTATTTTCTTTTTTGTTACTTATTGTGTTTGTTCTTGATTGGCTAGGTGCATTGAGCTAAGAGAGTCAAGCAAAGAGAATTAAAGAGTAAAGGAAGCAAGGAAGCCAAGTGAAGCTAAGCAAAAGCAAAAAGGAGCTGAAATCTAAAAATTTGCACAGCATTGCAAGGCTTGGAAATTGAAAATGAATTGAAGTTGCTTAAGGACCCTTTGTGAGATCTTTCTAACTCAATCTCTAGTTAAATCATCGGCCCACGTGGTGGCAATTTACTTTTACTTTGCATATTGTTCAAATATGGGAGTATTGGACCAATGTATGTGGAGAATGTTTGTTGATTGATTTGTTGTGGGGGCGAAGTGATTGTTATTTGCTTGTTATTTGTTTTTCTAGTGCATACATGGTCATAGGTCGTTGAATCCTACTCTTGTTCTCTTTAATTTGTATCTTGAATCAGTTGTTGTAATCCTAGGGGAAGAGGTAGTTCATATCACTCTATTTCACCAATGGAGGAATTGAATGACGACCACGTGGAGGACCTTAGTCACATAGATAACAAGGCATCCTCCACCCTAATGTGCATCATGAAAATATTCAAGTACCATTAGGCATGCCAAGACCATTCATCCCACCACAACAACAAGGCCAAATTCCATTGGGAATGTCTTGGCTAATTTTTGCTCCACAACCTCCCATGGTTCAAGTTAATCAAGGTGTTTGAGTAGCACTACCAGTTGTGAATCCTCCCATTGCTTTAAGAGTCCATTATGTGCCTAATGAATATAATGCACCCACTTGCATTCAATTGCCCCTATTTAGAGCACATCACTATGAGATTAAACCACAAACCATTCAAATGCTTCCCAAATATCTAGGACTTCCAAGTGAAGAACCTTATAAGCATTTGAATGAGTTTCTTAAAGTGTGTTCCACCGTGAAATACACGGACTTGCCAGAAGAAGTGTTAAGACTCAAACTTTTTCCTTTTACCCTTAAAGACAAGGCAAAATATTGGTTCGACAATCTTAGACCTTTTTCAATAACTTCTTGGGCAGAAATGCAACAAGAGTTCTTGAAGAAGTACTATCCGGTTTCGAAGACCAATGCCATGAGAACTTCCATTCGTGAATTTTCTCAAGGGGATGGGGAAATGTTTCATGATGCATGGGAAAGGTTTAATCACTTGTTTAGGAAGTGCCCACATCATGACATACCTAAGTGGTAACTAGTTTAATATTTCTTTAAAAGTTTACCGGATAGTCACTAGGGTATGGTTGATGCATCTATGGTTGGTTCTTATCTTGATAAGCATGAGGATGATGTGTGGCAATTGTATGAAAATATGAGTCAGAATTCAATGCATAGATCTTTATCCTCTAAAAATGGTAAAAATCTAGGTGGAAGGAAGAATGCCGGCATATATCAAGTTGACAATTCCAACAATATAGCCGCCGAGATAAAATCCTTATCTTAAAGGTTTGATCAATTTTTGATTAATCAAACTTTGGCGAATCAAATGTCTTCCTCCCCTAACCATTCTCATTATGCATCTAATGAATGTTGCATAACTTGTTCAAGTGTTTTACATTCTACTTCCAAT